TCGCAGATTCATTGCCTGTTAAGTGGGCAGTTAACTCTCATCAGTGATTTCTAAATTTTCATCTGGGGCCCCATGTTTTGAAAGGTCGGTCTGCCAAACATGCTGACTGAATCATGTACTATCCAATTTATTTCCTCATTTTAAAATGTCAGAGATCCCCGGTGCAGTGGGTGGTGTGTGAATCTGAGCCTCCCCAACTCAAAACAAAGGATCTGGAGGCTTCCATGCCCTGTGTTTCCCACAGGCTGCTCGCCACGTTTTGGGGACCTCCGGGGACCCCGGCCTGCGTGGTCCCTGTGGTAACCGAGGCCCCACTCCCAGGGCTGTGGTTTGGGCCCAGCCCCTGCTCCCGGAGCACTACCGTGGGGAGAGTGACCTTTTGTCCTGCTCTGCCAAGGGGCTTTCTGTTCCTCATTGTTTAGCTATGACAGGGCTGTGCTTTGTAAATTTTTTCTGTCCAAGGGGATAAGCAGGCCTGGAGATTGCCCCAGGGAGGGCTGACCCCTCCCCCAGCCGCTGGCTAGAGTCGCCCAGAGCAGCAGGAGGAAGTGTGGGGAGGTTTGCTCATAGCAAGAAGCTCCAGACAAGAAAAGAGCCCGGAGGGGAGGAGGCGGAAGGCTGCTGCTCAGCTGGCCAGGGGCCAGGGGGCCTGGGGTCCAGCCACCTGCCTTTGGCAGCCCGGAGCCCGTGTCCATGGGCAGTGAGAGAGCCTAACTTGGTCACGGCAGGGAGGGCCCTTCCCAGTCAGGATCTTTGGGCCCTGACAGGAAATCCCCCCCCAACCCCCACCAGGGCAGGATTTCTCTCTGCCACCTGGAGCCACCCTGTCCCTGTAGTTCTCAGGCCCAGGATGAGTGAGGGTCTCCCCTTGTTACCCCTCAGGGGACCTGTGGGGATGAAGCCCGAGGGGTGTGGGATTCCCAGGAGACCTGTGGGGGCCTCTCTGTGGGGCGGGGGCTGCTGTCTGAGGGAAGAGGCAGCTGCGTCTGGGGGTGCTCAGTCCGTGGAGGCAGGCGCCGCCCCTTCCCTTGGGGAAGCCACACAGCAGCAGCCTGCAGGGAAGATCAATTTGGAGGATTCGAGGGGGGACAGTCAGGCCCTCTGCCACATTAACATTCAGTTGAATGTCCTGTGCAGAGGGAGCTGCAGAAGGTACAGTTTCTGTGGTTTGGGGGCTCCCCAGCCCTGTAATCACCATCTCCTTCCTCCATGCATCCTTTCCCCACCCCTGCCTGGGTCACCGTGCTCCATCCACCGGGCCAGATAATCAGATCCTGTTCAGCAACGGAGCATCAGAATCACTGGGAGATGTCCATTTTCTTTTCTCTCTGTTTTTAACAGTACAGCTTCCTGGGCCTACCCCCTGAGATTCCACCCCTGTTTGGGGAGTGGGAGTCGGCATTAGTAACAGCCCCCTCAGATGCTTTGGACACAGGCAGGGAGCCTCCCCCACACTGTGAGAAGCCCTGATAAGGGGTCCTGGGCCCTTGCTTCCCCTTCCAGGGTGCCTGCAAGCCTGCTCAAGCACCAAACTCAAGCACCAAACTAAGAGGAAAAAATTGCTGGGATTAGATGTGCCTGCACGTGTGCATGTGGGCACGTGTGTGTGCATGCACGTGTGCATTCCTGTGCATGTGAGCATGTGTGTGGGTGTATGTGCACGTGTGTGTGGATATGTGCGTGGGTGTGTGTGTGCACGTGTGTCCAGAAGGGAATTGAAGTCACTTTTTTTTTTTTTTTTTTTAAATTTTTATTTTGTCACTATACAATGTATATGATTATTATGGCCCATCACTTTTTTTAGACTGTTACACAGAATGGTTCCCACTTCCCTCGTTTTTTTTTTAAATTTTTATTTTGTCAATATACAATGTATATGATTATTATGGCCCATCACTTTTTTTAGACTGTTACACAGAATGGTTCCCACTTCCCTCGCCCAACCACCTGCGTCTCTCCCAACCTCCCCAGAGCTGGCTGTCCTGGGGCTTGGCGCTGGGCTTGGGGTGGGGGTGGGCCTCAGAGGCAGGCTGGGCTGGTGGGTACATCCACGTTTGGGCTTTATTGCTCTGGTGCTGGGGTCAGACCCCTCCAGGAGATGACATCGTAACAAAGCCCACAGCTTAGATTAGCAACTGCTGAGCACCCACTGTATGCCAGGCTCTGGGCAGTAGAGTAACCCCCAGCCCACAGCCTTCGAGAGCTTCGCATCTGGGGGTGTCCAGGTGAGTAGACCACTGGCAGCCCTATCTGCCAGCAGCCAGGAGGGAGCAAGGTTGGGATTCTGGGTCTGAGTGATTCATTCAGGGTGGAATGTGGGCAGGGAGCCTTGCGGGGGAGGCTGCTGTCTGAGAAGGGCTCTTCAGGGCCAAATGAATTTTTTCAGAGGAAGCATGAGGCTGTTCCAGGATGTCCCGGCAAAGGCCTGCGCACAAGAAGAGCCACAGATTGCTCTACAGCAGGCCCTGTGGGTTGTCCCCTGATGGCTTCCAGCTGTCGGCACCAAGCTGTGAGCTGTGTGCAGCCAGGGTGGGTTGGTGCTTCCTATCAGGCTGAGGGGAAAGACAGCTGGGTTTCCAGGCCCCTTGTCACTTCTGCAGGGGCCAGCCTAGGGCCCAGCCATACCAGACCCCAGGTAGTCACAATTCTCAGGCAGGGCTGTGGAGTGGCCGGGGGAGGCAAAGTGAGCCCACCTCCCAGCTCAGATGATGGAAATCTGGCCAGGTCTGCATTGGCCCAGCAGAACCTGGTATCATGTCTGGCGTCTGTTCTGATTATCTTATTTACAGCTGATGTCCAGGGGGACTGGTCAGTGCCCATGTTATGCTGGTTGTTGAATATTTTGAATATCTCCCTTGCTCCTGTGTGTTAGGTATACTGAAGTCCAGAAAGGTTAATGTACTTACCTAAGGCCACACAGCTGGTAAGTGGTGGCATGAGGATTTAAAACCAGGTCTCTCTGACTCTCTTACCTGTGGAGAGACCTCATCACTTGTTCAGTAAAGGTCTCTGGAGCTCACCCCACCCATGTGATTGCAGCTGGCAGTACAATGGGGCATGAGCCAGCCCCTAACTCTGCCCTCCTAGAAGTGCCCCCTGGTCATTTCAAGGTGACACGTATGTAGGGGCCACCTGAGTGACTCCAGGTGTGTGTGTACACCCTGTTCTTTGCTTGTACAGACATGTGTATGCCCATGTTTGCCTATACTTGAGTATATCAACTCCCAGTGTGCCCACAGCCTTGCAGAGGTGCTTGTCCCAGAAGGCCCAGACAGCTGACCCAAGTCCTTTGGGAGGAAGGGCAGGACTCAGGGGCATGTGGCCAGTGCCCTGGGACAGGCACAGTGGTGACTGTTGCTGGTGCTCTGTACTCCCTGAGGGTCCCTTAGAGACCCAAGAGAGGAGAACTCTGTGTTTGTCAGTCTGTTGGGTTCTGCACCTTGTATGGGCTGTTTATTTTCTCTTTTCTCCCCTCTCTCTTTTCTTGCCTTGTTCACCTCTTCTTGGAGGCATGTAGCGCAGGGGTTGAGATCATGAGCTGTGGAGTCAGATGGGACCAGGGTTCGAATCCTCTGTTGCTTACTGGCTCTGGGACCTTGGGCAGGTGACCTGCCCTCTTTATGCTTCAGTATTCCATCTTCCATTCCATGAAATGGCCACAGTAAGGAGACCTTCTTCGTTGGGTTGTTGGGAGGTCTTGCTGAGATAGCACACCTGTCTGAAGTCTAGTCTTCTAGAAGCAGAGCCTGAGGCAGGGATTCTTGTGAACGTGATTTACTGGGGAGGGTGTCAGGAGAAGCTGGTAAGGGCAGTAGGGCAGGGCAGGGAAGGGGCCAAGCAGGGACATGGTTGCAGCTGGAGCTAGCTTCAGACCCTATGGTGGGGGTGAAGCAGAGCCTGAGGCAGGGATTCTTGTGAACGTGATTTACTGGGGAGGGTGTCAGGAGAAGCGGGTAAGGGCAGTAGGGCAGGGCAGGGAAGGGGCCAAGCAGGGACATGGTTGCAGCTGGAGCTAGCTTCAGACCCTATGGTGGGGGTGGGGACCATAGGGTATGGACCATGAATTGTTCCAGAGTCTGTCCCACCTCGAGGCCAGGGAACGGCCTTCTAGCTATGGAACTGTTATCAGTGAGGGATGGGTGCCCTCCTGATAAGGGGTCTGAGTAGGATCCAACAGCCTCCACTGACTCTGCAGCTGAAGCATTTAGAACAGCACCTGGCACCCTGGGGTGCTCCAGACAGATTAACCATGGTCATCGTTATTAGCCATTGTCCATTTACTGAGCCCCAGCTCTGTGATGGGTCCCCTGTCATAGATGGAGGGTCTAGAGATGACGAGGCCACCATCTCTGCCCTCTGCATGGCAGTGTGTGTGTACGTGAGTGTGCATGCACACGTGCACACGCGTACGCACCCACCAGCAAGGAGACCATTTCAGAACGATGAGACGATTGTGAGAAGGGGCCATATCCAGCATTTAGAGAGAGCCCAGAGGAGGACAAGGAGCCTAAATCAGCCTCGGGGAGTCAGGGAGGGCTTCCTGGGGGAGGCAGCACTCAGCTTGAAGGAGAAGGTGTTTCCCAAGTGCAGGAGGGAAGGGGAGGCATCCTAGGCAGAGGGCAGCTTTGTGCTGAGGACCTTGGTTCTCTGTGACCAAGTCCACTGTCTTCTGGGCAGCTTCAGGGCCCAACATGTGGCCTGAGTAATAGGAGCCACCCAGCAGTGGGGAAGGCCTGAAGCCAGCCCCACTCTCTGGCCAGCTGGCTCAGTGCCTCCGCCTGCAGACACAAGTGTGCTACACTGAGCTGGGGAGGCAGAGGAGGCAAAAGAAGGCAACGACTGTCCCTTTCCCGACCTCCCCCTCCCCTAGGGAGAAACCTCCACGTCAATAGAGCCTTAGCAGAGAGAAGGCCAAACATTTGCAGGACAGGGACCTGGCATCGGGTGTGGTGGAACCCAGGGTGGCCAAGCTTATGGCTGTCTTCCCTTCCCCCCTCCAGGTTGCATTTACACCCTATGCCCCGGAGTCCGGGAGCAAGTGCCAGCCGGAAGAATACTACGACAGCAGGGCCCAGATGTGCTGCAGCAAGTGTCTGCCTGGTGAGGGACAGCCGCTGGGTCCCTGGGGACTGGTGCCCTGGAGGGAGTGTGTGTGCAGGCACTCAGGGGGAGGGGGCAGGGTCATGGCCCTTGATTCTTACTGAACTCCTTCTAGCTCCGTGAATCAGCCCGTGTCCCTTTTGCTTCTGGCCTGTGCTGTTCCCTCTGCCTGGCCCACTTCCCAACCCCCTTCCCGTGGTGAGCTACTGCTTATCCTTTATACCTCAGCTTAGATGTCCCCTCCTCCAGGAAACCTGCCCCACACTGCCAGATCACGTGCCTCCTTTGAGCTCCCACCGGCCCCTGGTGGCCCCCATGGCAGCTCTTTTTATGCCGCGCATCTACAGCTTGGTTCCTCTTATGCTGTCCCCACTGTGTGCTCCTCCAGCCAGGGACTGTGGCTTCTTCTCTCCTGTATCTCCAGCACATGGCACAATGCCTGGCACATAGTAGGTGCTCAGTGCGTGTTTGACGGAATCAATGAATGCTTACCCATTTCACCAAGGGGCAGGGACTGTGGCTTCTTCTCTCCTGTATCTCCAGCACATGGCACAATGCCTGGCACATAGTGTTTGACGGAATCAATGAATGCTTACCCATTTCACCAAGGGGGGACCGGAGGCCTAGCCCCAGTTGGGAGAGCCATGTAGCCCATCTCCCGGTGCCATCCATCCATTTATTTGTTTATATATTCACTCATGTAATATTTATAAAGCATCTACTATGTGTTTTGGGTGCTGGGAACACAGCAGAGAGCAGAGCAGACAGAATCCGTGCCCTTGTGGAGTCTGCACTCTCATGGAGGACACAGACAAGTAAATGAACAGAAGTGTGGTCCTATCCATCAGTGAGTGCTGCGAAAAAAACAAGACAAAGCAAGGCAGAGGGAGATGGGCCAAGCAGGGTGTACTGTTGATACGGGGCAGTTTGGGAAGGTCTCTCTGAGGAGGTGACATTTGGGCAGAGCCCTGCAGGAGGTGCAGGAGCATATATGCATGCATATGAACAGGGAACAGCATGCCCGGTGGAGGCACTGGCAAGTGCAAAGGCCCTGAGGTGGGAGCCTGTCTGCTGAGCTTGAGCAATAATATAATAGCAGGGCAGCATGTGTGGCCCCGAGTGAGTGAAGGGGGGTACGGCTGGAGATAGGGATGAGGAGAGAAGCAGGGGCCAGGGCGAGGAATGTAGATTTTATTCTGGAAGCGTCTGGAAGTCATTGGAGGGCTTTGAGCCATTAGCTTGAGATGTGGGTAGGCACATGTGTACCTGTCAACTCTCATAGCCATTTTAAGAGACCCTAGGAAAAGCGACTCTTCTTTCTATTAACTGGTAGGGTCTCATTGAGAAGTTACTAGATTAGCATAGCAGTGAACATGGTAGGACAGAAATGGGTAAGGGGATCAGAAAAGTGAATTCCTTAAAGGTTTTCCCCGGTGTTCTTCCATCCCCAGGTATGTCCTCTCTCCAGGCCTTCAGGAATCCCATGCCCTTGTCCTTGATAGGATTCCAAGTACTACATACATTCTCACTGCCTTCTTTCCCTGTAGTTCGTACCCCCACATCTCCATTTTAGCCAACTGTCAAGAAGAAAGGAGCTGGCAAACCAGTACTTACTAAAGTGTGATTGACTGACAATAGGTCTCCAATGGTGAGATTTCAGGCATCTGGAAAGAGCAGAGGGGTTCAGAAATGGAGCGATAACTGGTACATGCCAGATGTGAGATGAGTCCGTGGAGGAGCTGGACTCCACTGGAGAGCCTTCCCGGCTCGGCTTCAGAACTCTGGGGCTCCGGGGAATGGTGGATAAGCCCAGGGTCCTGGCAGAAGCCACACCCTGCTGAGACCTGTGGCCCTTGCCTTCTCAGGCTACCATGCAAAAGAGTTCTGCACCAAGACCTCAGACACTGTATGTGCCCCCTGCGAGGACAGCACATACACCCAGCTCTGGAACTGGCTCCCCGAGTGCTTGAGCTGTGGCTCCCGCTGCACCTCTGGTGAGTGGCCTAGGAGAGGGGTGGGCCTGGCATCCTCCCCTGGCCACCACGCCTCCAGCCCCTTTGGCTGCAAGCTGGCTGGGATTGCCCAGACCAGTTGTTTTCATGCCCCAGGACGTGAGGTGGCTGCGGTACAGCTCTTTACTGCTTATGAATGGCATTTTCCTCCTCTGTCTCCCCAAATCCTCTTCATAGCCCCAGAGGGGAGGGGCAGGTGTGGCGATGGGAGAACTGTACCCATTTTAGAGTTGAGGAAGTGGTGCCTTGGAGAGCAGGTGTGCTTGCTCACGCCATGATGCTGCTGGACAAGACGGCAGCATCGGGACTTTGTGGCCAGTGGTTTTTTTTTGCCCTATGTAAAGGAGGGGGACCACCAGCCTCCTGGAGATCAGAGCTCTCTGTGGGGGCGGGACTGGAAGGGCAGAGTGGGCACGGCAGAGGCAGGGATGACCTTGGGCTGCTCTCTCGCTCCCTAGACCAGGTGGAGACTCAAGCCTGCACTCCGAAACAGAACCGCATGTGCGCCTGCAGGCCGGGCTGGTACTGCGCGCTGGGGCAGCAGGAGAGGTGCCGGCTGTGCATGCCACTGAGCAAGTGCCGCCCTGGCTTCGGCGTGGCCAAACCAGGTATGGGGCTGGGGTCAGCCATCCTTGGGGAGCCCCTTGGACCTCTCCTTTATGGATATCCCTGCAATGCCATGGGAATCAATCTTCAGCCCAGCTTGGGACCATCAGTGATGGCCAGGTGCTTGCTACCATCCATCCGTCCACTGTCCACCGTTCATTCTTTCCTCCAGCACTCCTGATTAGGCACCTGCTGTGTGCCAGGCCCTGGGGATCCAGAAATGGATCAGACTAAGCCCTAAGGTACTGGAAAATCTGGTGATGCTGCAGGAAGATGAACCCATATAACCCTGGAGACCAACCCTGTGTGCACACTTGTGTGTAAGAGGTAGAGGTGCAGACAGAGGTCCTTGGGCCCCTCAGACACGCCCTAGGGCCAAGGCCCATCTGTCCCACAGAGCCTTTGAGTTGTTGACAGGTTCCAATTTTTTCCTTAAAGCAACTGCAATGTCAAATGTGGTGTGCGCCCCCTGTACCCCGGGGACATTCTCCGACACAACTTCATCCACAGATGCTTGCAGACCCCACCGGATGTGAGTGGCTGAATTCTTTGGTTTTGCAGGAGCAGGGAGGGACTTTCCCTGGGTGACTTTGGGGTCTAAAAGACACAGAGCAGCTCTTCAGTCACTGCTACCTAGACTGGTTTATCTTGGGGGGTGGATGGGTCCTGGGACAGACGTCACAATGAGGAAGAGCCTTGCCCTGGAAATCAACACTGGGAAGGATGCAGGGGGAGAGGTGGGGTACAGCAGGAAGGGGTGGTCTTGGGAGAGGGTGTGGCACACATATTCACTCCTGACCCAGCTGCTAGGACCCTTGCTGGCTGCCTGGCTCCCATGAATGAGCCCAGCCATCCCCAGCTACTCTGTCCTCTGTTGCCTCCTGACCAAGCCTCCTCCTCCCCCAGCTGTAGCTTGGTGGCCATCCCTGGCAATGCAAGTATGGATGCCGTCTGCACCTCTGTTTCCCCTACCCTGAGAGTGACCCTGAGGCCAGCTGGCATACCCCAGCCTGTGTCCACAAGATCCCAACCCCTGGAGCCAACTCCGGGACCCAGCATAGCTCCAGACACCTCCCTCCCATTCCCAATGTTCCCAACCCATCCGGCTAAAGAGCTCAGCACGGGCAGCATCTCTCTTCCAATCGGTGAGTCACAAGAGGGCTCATTCATTCACTCGTTTATGCATGGTTTCTTTCATTCACATTGTTTTACTGAGAGCCCACTGTGGGTAGGACCCTGTGCTCTGTCCTGGGTTACAGGTGGCAGTGAGACCGGTCTCCTCCCAAGACCTGATGCTGTCACTCACTAAGAATCCCTGGGTGGGGAGAGATGGGTCAGCGTTTCACCTGAAAGTGGAGGTGGTCTCCTGGTTGCTGTTTCTGATGAACCCATTAGGCTGAGAGGACCGCAGGACGGTCACCTCACGGGCTTCCCTTCTGGGGTTAGGACTGCTTCAGGCCAGAGGTCACAAACTGGTAGCCCTCTTGCTGAATGTGGCTCACAGGCTTATTTGGTTTGTAATTGAATTTGAGAGCCTCTGGACGGGCTTGCCCTTGCCTACAACAACCCAAGCCACTTTGGGTCAATGAGTTACCTGCCTGGTGCCTGGAGCATTTGAGTCTGTCTCCTGTAGCTGTTTGATCTTCTCTTTTCTTTCCAGGACTGATTGTTGGCGTGGCCGCCTTGAGTCTGCTCATAATAGGACTGGTGAACTGTATCATCCTGACCCACAAGAAAAGTGAGATTCTGTTCTTCCTTCCTTCATCCACTTGTTCAAGAAGCTTTTCTGGGGTACCTCCTGTGAGTCCAGCACCATGCATAACCTTAGGGGTTGGACAGAACTGGATACCACAGTCCCTGTTCCATGGGAGCTTAGAGCTGGGGTGGAAGACACTTCGCTAACTTAGCTACTAAAAGGCAAGATGCGATCAGGGTATCCCAGGGGCTAGGAGCTCAGGATTTCTTTTTTTTTTTTTGTCTTTTTCTGTGTCCGGCAACGGATCGCAACCCTCAGTGTCGCCCCCGTACCGGACCGGGACCGGCAACGGGATCGCAACCCTCGGTGTTGCCCCCGCGCCTTGC